CTTCCTCTGACATAATGATCCCAACAACCAGTGCACAACCTTTCTCCTGACACGTCTCCTGCCTACCTCGCAAACTAGAGAATCTGCAGGCGGTGGTGGTGGTGCTGGTGTGCGTGGAGTCGGTTCCGACTCATAGTGACCCTGTATTGGGTTTCCGGGGCTGTATCTTTACGGGAGCCTCATCTTTCTCCCACAGAGCTGCTGGTAATTTCGAACTGCCAACCTTGAGGTTAGCAACCCGAATAGTAACCACTATGCTACCAGAGCTCCTTAACCACAGGTAGTGGTGGTTCTGTGCCGTGCAGTCGTTTCCGACTCATAGCGACCCAGTTCAGGATTTCCGACGCTGTAAATCTTTACAGGAGCAGAAAGCCTCATTTTTCTCCCGTGGAATTTAGTAGTACTACCTTATTCCAGGTCCCATGACCAGAGCAATTTCCTCATGCTGTCACTCCCACTCTGGTTTAGGCTCCCCACCACCCTAACCTGGCACCGAGAATGTCTCTTCCTTCTGTGTGTCCCCTCAGGGCTGTCGGTGTCATCCGTATATCTTCCTAAGGGCCCGAGTCTCTGACCAGGTTACCCAGTGCCTCTGGCACACCCACACCTCAGCCCCTGCAATAGACAGTATCCCCCTCATGGCTGTCTGCAGACTCTCCGTATCCCACAATGACACGCTTCCTGGGCAGCAGGACAAGAGTCACCTCTTCCCTTCTCGTCCCAGATCTCCCTTAGAAGTCAACATAGAGTGAAGCCTTCTGTTAGCCTGACTTAGGCCCCCTGAGGGGCATGTGGTCCCACCCATCAGCTGTGAGGAATCTGGCCTAGAAATAAGCCAGGGTAAATTTGCCAACAGCAAAGACCTCTCTGTTTGCTCTGACTGTAGGTTTGGAGTCAGGGCCCCAAATAACCCAGGTCATGGACCAATCTCTGTCAAGGCCGCTTAAGCCCATCTGTTCCTTGACCACACTGCGTGTCCAGCCCCTTGTGAGGCATTGCTTTCACACTTGGAAGGCACCGTGTGAACAGGAACACAAAAGTTGTGGGTTCTTAGTCCAGCTCAACTCCTAACTGACTGTGATTCCATTCGGGCACCATGCTTTTCTGGACCTCAGTTCTCTCATCTGTAACAGCAGAGGCTGAACCCAATGGCCTCAAGGCCCCTTTCCAGCCCCAGAATTCTGGGAGTCTGCCTGTCCTATCTGCTCCATTGACCCTCAACCTATCCAATCACAGGCCACCTGCAGCCAGGTCACCCAGGGGGTTTGTTTCCCTAATAAAGCCCTCATTGCTGATTCTACCTAGATCACCCTCCCAGCGACCTGGCTAGAGAAACAAGGACCTGGGAAATTTTTCAGGAGAACCTCCCAAAATAAACAGCTCACTACTTCTGGTATCGTGCTCACACATGAGGCAGGATTTACGCCGAGGGGCTGAGGCCGTAGCAAAATCTGGCTCTTTCTAGCTTGCTCTCCTACTGCCTTGTGCAAACCACTTTTTTTTTTTTTTTTTTTTAATGGTTTTGCTTCAGAAAAGGGTCTCAGTACCTTTTTCTAGTATTCTGTGAAGTCTTCACTTTACAAAGTTGTACTTTATTTAAAAAGCTGATTGTGAATGACCAAAACCTCCCATGAAGGAACACAGTGTTGGCCTCAGTCCTCTCTAGAGACTTCCGCCTTCACCTGCTTGGCCCCTGAACCTCAGTCCCCCTCCAACTTTTGGGGCCTTGGTCCACTTCTGCACTACCCTGCATTTCCCTGTCTCAGTCCTGAGTGCCCTCTAGTTCAAGGACAAAACGGTGTTTGAAATGGTCACACAGCCACATAGGACACTGGCCACAATAATTGTTCAGCAAAGCCCACAGGAGGGAGGTGGTGGGGTGGGGAAGAGGTGAGGGATCATAATAGAACAACATTTACAGGTGCTCTCTCATTTTAAAATGCTCCAAAAACCATAAGGACGGTTATTACTCCCACTAACTATTGATGAAAATAGACTCCAGAAGGCTTTGTGACTTCCCCAGGGACCAGGGACTTCACTCCATGCTTGTGGGAGCCAACACCTGGCCTCTGAATCCTGGAGAGGCTGTGTAGATAGTCCAAAGGTGCACAGCGGACAAGGGGTGGGAGCTGGGCAAGGGAAGGGACGGGCTTCTGCTTGGCAACCTGTCTTGGTGTCTTCTAGAAATCCCTCCTCCACGTTGGTCTCTCCCTCGCCCTTCCCAGGGAGTTGACTCACCTCCTTGTGGAGCTGAGGGAAAGATGAAAGGATTGGTTCCCAGAACCCTTTCTCTCCTCTCCTGTACCCCACTCTCTGTCTCCCCTCATCTTTGTCATTTATGCCCCCTCCTTAGGCAAGGAGGAAGAGAAGTCCTGCCAACTAGAAGTCTGTTGTTCTAGGCTCCTCCTCTTCAGGCCTTGGTCTGCACAGGGTGGAAGGACAGGGACATTTTCAAGGTTTCCACGTGGCCAGCCAGGAGCACAGGCAAAACCTTTGTGTACGTTGGAAAGTCCTCATTTCCCAAAGGCATCTTAGGACCCAGACACAGGGACTTTTGATCAGCACTCATTAAGTGGAAACCAGGAAGGTGGCCTAAAAGTGGATGTCAGTCCTGACAAACCCCATCTTTATTGTTTCTGAAAGGATGGAAAATAGGATAAAGGTGACTTGTGGGTCTCTAGCAAAGCCAGTCTCAGTAAGGTAGAGGCCAAGTGAGAAGTACAAACCTGACTGAGGTTCTCGTGGGCATCTTCCCTGAGACCCCAAGGCAGAGTAGGGGGCAGTTCTGGCCTGTCACCGGAGCAGCATTGCAGCTTTTCGTGATTTCTGGGGTCTCCGCTCTCCTGGAGGAAGGGCAGGACCAGCCTTGGGCTTGAGGCTGCAGCTGGAGAGGTGGAGCCAAAAAGAGGCTTCAATTTTTAAATTAATCCACCTCCCAACTTAGAAAGAATCAAGTCCACAGAAGGGCCCCGAACTCCAGGCTCCTAGTCCTACCCTCCCACTCCTGTCTGCTCTCCTTGCTGGAGGCCGACCCAGGCAAAGCTCTGGGGTTTCCAGATCTTTGTGGTCTCGTTGCCTCAGGAAAAGATGAGAACCCCAAAGATGCGATGAAAATTCAGGACTGTTCAGTTCTGGAATGCATGCTCATAATCACCTCCTATACGTGTTTGCTGTGTGACCTCGGGCAAGTTACTTAAACTCTCTGAGCATCGGTATACTCATTGTAGACTGAAGATGTTCCACTGGGCTAGTGGTTTTCAAACTTTTCCAGCCACATTACCCTGTCTTTAAATGAAATGTTATAACCCGTTTATTCTTATTTCATAGTCCACAAAAAGGGCCATCTTTTTCCTTCTTCCAACATGACTTCAAACATCTCAATTGACTCTTCCCCCTCTCTTCTCTTAATGTCATCTCAGGCAGCCTCTGGTCTCACTCAGGTGTCACAAAGGCTACTTCTCTCTTTTTGTTTAAAGCTTCCTCCCCTCCTCGAATTCTGATTGATCCCTGCCTACAGGACCCCCACCGGGGAGAGCTTGGTCCCAGGGCTGTTCTGGGACTCCACCTTCTGGTGTTGAGGCAGGGACTGCCAGGTGTTTTTGTCCTTCACATGTCCAAACTTGGCCAACTCGGGGGCCTCCTACTTCCATGCTGCCGAGCCCTCCCCTCCAGCATTCAGGCCTTTGGAGATGGTTCTGGCAGATGACTCAGGTCAGGCTGCCTTCCTGGGTGCTCATCGAGCCCACTCTCACCCCACCTGCCACCCTAACCTATCCCACCCTTCTGTCTTCTGCTGCAGTAGGTGCTGGGGTAGATCAGTGAGGCCTCTGCATACGAGGTGGCCAGCAGGGAATGGGGCCCGCATCTCCTTGGTGTGGAATTCTGTATGGGCAACAAGTGGCTCCTGGCCTTGGTGGCCCCTCCCTTGGCTTTTCCAGGGGGTGCGGGAAGGTAAAGGGTATGTATTTCCCCATTGCTGACTCCTTCCGCAGTGAATCTCAACCCCTGATGCCCAGGAGAGACCCATGAAAAGAAAAACTGATTAAGAACCACCAGTGTGGCCACCTGCTCCAGACCTGCTAATTCGCCATCTTGGGAATGTTTTTTTTTTTCAAGCTATTGAGGTGACTATAAAAAGCAACTGGGATTAGGAACCCCTACCCAATACGACAAATACCCATCCATGATGGGAGGAGAGTCGGTTAGTCCTGAGGGAGGGGAGTCAGGAGTAGGGGGAAAGGCTTCCAGCTTAGTGCCACAATTTAAGGTAAAAGAAGACTCCCCCTTCAAGATCCTATAGGGTACAAGTGGTTTCAAATTGCCTTAGCGTCAGAACCCTGTCTTCTTGTGAAATCTTGCCAGAGCCTCAACCATAACTCAGTTGAAGGTGGAGTATCTGGCTGAAGCAGGAATAAGGGCTTGGTGCCAAGCAGTGGGCCAGGGTTTTGTCAGCATCATTGGAAACTCCCCCAGATGAGGTAATGGGAGTCCCTGGGGAGTGCAAGGGTTAACTCATTAAGTTGCTCATTGAAAGGTTGGTGGTTTGCGTCTAAGTAAAGGTACTTTGGAAGGAAGACTTGGCAGTCTACTTCCTAAATATCAGCCATTGAAAATCCTTTGGTGCACAGTTCTACTCTGACACAAATGGGGTTTGCATCAAATGGTAACCAAATAACCACTCAGATCCCTACACCTCTCTATATGATCCTATTACTGTATGTTAGGGCAGAGGGAGAGAAGGGGCGACTCACTGCTTTCTGAACAGGAAGTTGGATGCCCAATGGAGCTAGAAGCATGGGCAGTGTCTAAGGAAGCAGACCAGGGTGGGCACCCTTAGCAGGTCCTGGTAGAGCCAGGGTGGGGCAGGGGGTGTATAGCAGTAAGGAACCAGGGCCAGGTGGGGCTTCCAGAAGTCTGCTGACTCGATAGCTTTGCTGAGAACACTCATCCCGGGGCCTGAGCCCCCCAGCGAGGTGTGCTCCTCCATGTGTCCTGAGCAGGGGGAAGAAGAGAAGCCTAGGACTCAGGATCTGCAGCTACGACCACCACCCGGGCAGCAGGAGGAATGCCAGGAAGAGAAATCCGGAGGGGACGGGAGGCCTACCACGGAGTCCCTCTTTAAAGTCCTGGACACACCGCTGAGTGAAGGCGATGAACCCACGACACTGCCCGCCCAGCAGGACCATGGGCGCAGCATGCAGATGGAGGGCTACTTGGGTCGCAAGCACGACCTGGAGGGTCCCAACAAGAAGGCGTCCAACAGGTGTGTGGAGTGGACAGGGGCCATGGGTGGGAAGGAGAAGGGCTAGGTAGCTCCCAGGGAGTCCTCTGCCTACAGAATATTTCCATGTCTCTGGTGTGGAGGTGGTTATGTGCCGTGGAGGTGGTTATGTGCCATGGAGTTGGTTCCAACTCATAGCGATCCTATACAGGGTTTCTGAGGCTGTAAATCTTTATGGAAGCAGAAAGCCTCATCTTTCTCCCATGGAATAGCTGGTAGTTTCGAACTGCTGACCTTTCAGTTCACAGCCCGATTCATAACCACCACGCTACCGGAGTTCCTTCTTAAGGTTGTCTTATTCTTGGTAAATATCTTTGCTTTTAAGTTTAAAAGCATGGATATAAATTGGATGTACATCATGAATCAATTACAGAAGGAAATATTTTCGTGAAAATTATTTTGTGGAAAAAAATGGAATGAAAAAGTAATGTTATTTTTCCATGAATTATTTGAAGTCCCCCTAATAACTAAAAGGAATCTTGGTTGCGTAGTGGACTACAAGCGGGGCTGTCAACTGAGAGGTCAGCCGTTTGAATCTACCAGCTTCTCCTTAGGACAAAGATGAGGCTTTCTGCTCCCGGAAAGATTTACATCCACGGAAACCCTGTACAGGCTTGCTATGAGTCAAAACCACCTCAATGGCACACTACCACCATCACCAATACATAAAATGTTAATAAGTTACCTTTGGGTGATGTAATTATATGCAGGTGGTTTAAAAAAAAAAAATCCCAGCACAATGTGTTATCAGGGGAAAAAAAAGTAATAATAAAGTGGTAAAGCAGTAGGAATTGATTATAAAATAGGTTAGAGTTCCCAGGTGGTGTGAACAATCACACACTCAGGAGCTAATCAAAAGGTTGAGTGTTTAGGTCCACACAATGGTGCCTCAGAAGAAATGCCTGGAAATCTTCTGAAAAAAATCAGCCCCTGGAGACCCTAAGGAGCAGAGTTACACACTTACAGTCACCATGAGTTGGAAATGACCAGTGGCAACTACTGTTTTCTTGCTATCAAGGGTGTGAGTGGCCTGTCTGCTTCTTCACAGGTCCTGGAACCACCTCTACTGTGTGCTCAGGAATAGTGAGTTGACCTTCTACAAAGATGCCAAGAACCTGGCCCTGGGGGTGCCCTATCATGGGGAAGAACCCCTGGCTCTTAGACACGCTGTCTGCGAGATTGCTGCCAACTACAAGAAGAAGAAGCATGTCTTCAAGCTGAGGTGAGGCCTTTCCTGCTCATTGCTTTTCTTTCCTGAGCCTTGATCACTCAGAGCTGGTGTCTGGATTTGGCATTAGTGGGCTGACAGAGACCCACTGTGAGACCAGTTCCAGGTCTGAGCTCAGGAGATGCCTGGGAGGGTCTCTGTTACTGGACGAGCGTAGGCACTAAGGCGGAGCTAGCTCTCTGCCCAGGCTTCAGGCGGAGGCCTCCAGACGTTGCGCATACAGAAAACCCTTTGTCCTCGTAGGCTGAGTAATGGCAGCCAGTGGTTCTTCCATGGCAAGGATGAGGTAAGTGCAAAGCCTGCCTAGACAGGACCTGGGGCGGGAGGAATGGGCAGCCCTAGCAACACGCCCCCAGCCTCAGTAGGGGCCCTGTGAGGAGGCGGTGGAGCCCTGACCCTCCCACCCCGCAGGAGGAGATGCTGTCCTGGCTGCAGGGCGTAAGCACCGCCATCAACGAGTCTCAGAGCATCCGTGTCAAGGCGCAGAGCCTGCCCCTTCCCTCCATCCACGGCACCGACTCCAGCCTCGGCAAGAAAGACAAGGAGAAGAGATTCAGCTTCTTCCCCAAGAAGAAGTAGCGGGCTGCGGCGCCCGCGGGTGGGGCCGGGTGCGCGCTGGGCGCCCGGAAGTGCAGGGCCGAGCCCGGGCGTCCAAGGGCCCGACCTCCGTCCTCCCCCCGGGCTGCCGCTGCCTGCCGCCTGCCTGCCGCATCGCCGGGCTGGCCGGGATCCCGGGCCCCCGCTGCACTGCAATAGCTGCCTTCGTCCGCCCGGCCCAGCCCGGCCCGGCCCCCCCCCTCTGCCCCTCGCCCCCGCCCCTCACCAGCCGCAGCTCCGGGCCCCAGGGAGAGGGGCTCCCAGCTGCTTGGTGCCCTTGAGCCTGGGGGCAGGAAGGTTCTCAGAGGCATTTGTCCTCCTCTCCCCACCCTTCCTCCAGACTGGCCAGCCCCCTCACCCGCCTTAAAAGCTGAAGAAGGCTGATGAGGTTCCTCAAACACTACCCACTCCCAAAGCATGTCTTGGGGCCATCTCCCACTGGTCAAAGGCAGGGAAAGAGAAAGAAGACACTGGAAATACCCGACCTACTCCTTGGGGCTCCGGGAAAGGAGCCTTTTGGGTATTCTGGGTCAAGGGTGCAGGGGACGGGTGGGAGGGGGGAGCAGACAGTACAGACAACAAGGCCCTGGGTATTACCAGCCTCTTCCCCAATGGGGCTTTCTCACAACTGGGTGTCTCAGCTCAGGACCTCCCACCAAAAATAAAGTAACCCTTCAAGGCCTGTGGGTCCTAGCTGCAAGGAGCAACCTCAGCACCTTGTACAACCAGCATAGGAGGTCACAGGGAAGATCAGAAAGCTTTCAAACTATCCCTCTTTTAAAACTGTGGTGAGGGCTCTCAGACCGGAAGGAGGGGTAGGTAGGTCTCACACTGCCTAAGGCTCTGCCTCTCAACTCTGGGACCCTCCCCTAACTCGGAGTAGCAGCCAAACCAGCAATACATGACTCAGACCCAAAGCCCCTTAGGGAGACACAGTGCAGGCCCCCAGATACTAGATGGAAACCCCACTCTCTGGAGTTGTTGGTTGCCAATTCTGACTCATGGTGATGACGTGTGACAGAATCAGTTGCTCCAGAGGGGCAAAGCTGTGACATTTTGGAAGCAGATTGTCAGACCTGTCTTCTGAGCACCTGGAGTAAAAAACCCCAAAGTCAAATGCCCACTTGTGTCACGCCTGCAGCTGTACCAACTTAGGGTACTACTGGCTGAGAGGTTGACATGGTCATCAATGACAAAACTACCCCTCGACAGCTAGGCAAATGCTGGGGCCAGAGCCCTGAAGGTGTTCCCAGATCAGTTTTTCTTGAAGGCCCTAGCTTTGGATCTTGGGGTTCATGTGGATACAGAGGTAACCAAATATTTACCCTCTCCCCATCAAACACAGCCAAAAGGCACTCTGCAAACACCACCACCAGGAATACCCACCTCTTCATGCTGCTAAGGAAAGATCATTAGTTCCACAATTTCCCCACCATCACAGCACTCTGAAAGCAATACAGCTCCAGCCCAGCATTTTATCTGGGGTTGGGTCCAAAAGACTGGTCAAGTTGGGGCAGTGGGCATCTTCACCAGAGACCATAAAGGAGCTCAGAGGCTGCAAGGGCAGGGACCTAGAGTCATTGGTTCCATCACCTTCCCCATGGGAAGGAGCCTGGGATGATTTGTTGGAAAGTGGGTGAGAATCAGGTAGAAGCCACAAGGGCAAGTTTCAGGTGTTACAAGGCAGCCAGCCCAAGAACCCTTAGCTAATACAGATCAGCACAGGCACAGCCCAGAGAGCAGGACCACCCTGTGTCCTGACACCATGTCAGTAGACAGGGACCACAGGATGGCACCTGATTTCCTCAGATCAGGTGCTCTCACCTCTGTAACCAAGGTCTTCATGGACCTTAGCTCACCTAATCCTGCAGTTCTCTTTGCATCAGTGTGGAAACAAATCTGTATTCCATCAGCCTCTTTCTACACCTGGGGAGACCAAAGCATGGGGTAAGCAGGCAGGCCTCTGGTATGCTGAAAGGCCACGTCCTGCTCTGGGGTGGAGGACACCTCTCTTGACGGTTTCCCTGGCTAGTCTTTGGGGGAACCATGAGACAAAAGGCCACCATCTCCCCTCCATGTGGGCCAAAGTGATACCTGAAGTGAGGAATTTCCAGTAGGAAAACCTAAGAATGAAAAGGCCTCGATAGAAGAGTTAGGATTTCACCACCACAGGTCCCTGATGGGCAAAGGGCAGCCAGCCACATGTGACCCACCCTCCAGCTCCCCACATATCTCTCCCACATCGACCAGGCCTCAAGACACTGAACCAATTGGACTGAAACAGCAGGTGGCTAGCTTTGGATAACCCTGTGTCACTCAGCAGTCCCTGGCAAGGTTTTCCCCTACCCCTTATGTTTTCTACTTTGCAGTCTGTAACAGTATGCCCCCTACTAGGTTGGCACACTCCAATCTGCACCAGCATTAACAGGCTTCCTCCCCAGGGCAGTTTTAGAGGAAGCTCCTTCTGAGCATGGTCAGGCAGCCCTTCTTCCCTTTGCCCCTGGCCTCCACTAACTGGCTGAGGCACCCAGGGTCCTGGCCCTACTCCCCTAGCACCCACAACAGGAGGCTGGTGACAGGCTCAGCTTCCCCTCCACACCATTCCTCCTTCCTGCCTTTTGGAGGGCAACTGGGGTCCCCTAGACTGGCCCTGGATCTCCCTCCTCCCCTCGATGGAAAGGGGTGGAGATCCAGAGGGGGGAAGAGGCCAGTGGACCACATAGCTTGGTCTTTCAACAAGCAAGCTCAGGGAGGACTCGAGGGAGGACACGAGGGAGGAGGTGGCTGAAGAGGGGTGCAGCTCCGCAGGCACACACCATGTAATCCGGGCTGGCCCTGGGGCCGGCTGGACCTTGTCCTCCACCTGCTCAAACGTGCTTCCACCAACCAGAGGAAACCCATTTACTAGTTTTTCTAATAAATCAATAATGCTTCAAATTTCTCTGGTGGTGGTTCCTTTTGGAGTCCCTGAGTGGTGCCTATGGTTAAATGTGCGGCGATTTACAGAAAGATTATGGAACTCTAATACACAGAAAAAAATGCCTGGCATTTCAATCTATTTCTGAAAGATCACATTGAAATCACAGGGCGCAGTAGTTCTACGTGACATACACGGGATAGCCAAGAGTTGGAATCATTCGATGGCAACTGGTTTGGATTTTGTTTGTTTCCCTTTGAGTTGATCAAGGACTGGTTGAGTGGGCAGGGAAGGTCAGTCCTGTGTCAAAAGGAGGACAGCCAGTCTTGTCCTTGTGAGTCTTATAGGATGACTCCACTGGCACCCAGGCCCTGGGCCTTACCTGAGGAAAACTCACTTCTTCCTGCCTGAGGGCTTCTGTAGAACAAAAATATTGCTTGGAAACAAATCAGACCATGCTTCTCCTCAGAGAGCAATCATCAGTGGTCTCAGCCCCCACTGGCCATCAGAGTCCCCACACCTGGATCTCATCTCTAGAGGTGTGGGTTCCTTGCTTGAGTCCCATTTTAAAGCTTCCCTGATGATTCTAATGGGCAACGTATGAGAACCAATGGCTGGTCCAAGGCTCCCAGACATGGCATAAGGATTACCTAGGGAAGGTTAGCTATAATTTCTCAGGCCCCACCCCCAGAAGAGCCTGAGTCAGAGTAAGAAGCCTGAGAGCAGGGACTTGTTAGCCCCTTCAGTTTATAGATGAGGGAAAGAGGGGTAGAATTTAGGTGACCTAGCTAGTTGGTAAGAAGCTAGGTCTCCGACTCTTACTCCAATGCCATGGTCCAGGGCTGTATCCCATCACTGTCTTCAGTGACCACAGAACGCTCAGGCTAGCTGGCTCGGCCCTGCTCAGCATCTGTTGGGGTTTGGCCTCCACTCTCAGATCTTTTTTGACCTTGTGAGACTCCATGGATCCATCTTCAGATTAAGACACAAAGTCATGACCCAATGATCTGTGGGAACATCTGTGGGGCAGCCCCCCCATCCCAACCTCCAAGAAGAAACCTCCACCATGGATAAAGGCCAAGAAGCCCAATTAAAAATAGTGATTCCTGAGTCTTTTGAATCAAAGGCCCCCGTAGAGAATTAGATGCAAACTGAGGATTGATGCAGAAATATGCACATGTAGCCATCACCCAATGTTGCATGTCACTTTAAGACATTTCTAGGTTGCAAATTGAGAATCCTTGTCTTTTGAACTTGTCTGGGAATCGGAAAGCGAGAAAAACTAAACCCTAGGAACTGTTTCGTTTACATTGTGCCCCCTCCTCTTTTTTTGAAATCCAACTTTGGTCCTTGGGAAAAGAGAGAGGACCCCAGGACTGCAGAGACACACAGCATGCCATTAGAGTGGGAGCAGCGGAGGTAAGTTCCTTCCTGCCCACCCGCTGCCCACACAAGCACCCTAAGTGCTTCATGAGCAAGGATGACAAGCGAGTACATGTGGATAGAATAGCTCACATCCCCAGCCCTGGCTGGTGGACCCTGCCCTCCATTCAGGCCCCAGTAAGGAGGACACACGCAGCTTGGCTGGTCAACAGTGGTTATTGCACCATCAACAAATAATGAAATGTGTGTACATTAGGGACAACCATGGTGTCAACCAGACAACCCTCCAAGTACCTGAATTACATTCTCAACAGGAGAGGCACAGACACCAGAGGCAGCACGCGCTCACGCACACAAGTGCACATACATACCACAGAATGGAAAGCAATAAATTATTGGCCTCGTGCCTGCCTGGATCCTAAGAAAAGGCACAGTTCAATGGGAAAACCTCCTAGGTCGCCTGCCACATCTCCTCTGGGTAGGACCCTCCGTCTGGTGATGACTGGCCAATACCGGAGGCCTGAGCTGTGCTTTTCTGTCCCTGGGAAGAGGTGACTTTAAATATGTGGCTTCTTACCAGAGAAGGATACACACAAGGCAACCATCACATGGCCTCAGAGGGAGAAAGCAGCTTGTCTAGGCCCCTGAAAATTGTCCCAAGCCCAAGCTGGCACAAAGCACAAGCAGCAGGTGAGGGCGGACACCTGCTGAGGACAGCTGAGCATAGACACGTTATTCAGAGGACAGTTTTCTCAGGGCCTGGGAGACCCAAGCTGGTGAGGGAGTTTGAAGAGGTTCTTCCCCATTTCCCTCCCGTAAAGAGGCACAGTCAGCCTACGGAGTTCAAGGCCTGGAATTTCTCCCTCAGGTTTTTCACTCTGCCTTGTTGGCTTTGGTCCATGAGGTCTCTGGGCCCCTCATCTGTCTTCAGCTGACACTCTGCAGATGCCTGCAAATCCTGGCCCTGACCCTCTCCACCTGGTCCCTCCCCACTGTCCTCCTCTAGTCCATCATGCCTGGACCCCTTCTCCATGACAATCACCCGCTGGTTGTTCTCCAGGGTGAGGTCTGCAGTGACGTACAAGCCCTCGTCTCCATGCATCCCACCTTGGAGCAATGACCCAGGAGGCTGGGGCTGGGTGGCTTCCCCACCTCCACGGCCCCTCGGGGTACTCAGGCTGCAGCAGCGGCTCACCCGGCCTGGCAGCGGGGGCTCCATCATGTTCTCGGGCACAGAGCGGCTCCGGTTGACAGGCAGGCTGCAGGGCCGGCTGCCCTCGGCCGGGAGTGCCTCATCAAGGGAGGCATACTTGGAGCGCAGCTCTCGGACATCAGGCCAGTTGAAGGTCTCGGTGTCGAAGGGGCTGAGGGGGCTCCGGGCAGAGGACCGGGATCCAGGCGAGGGGATCCTGGGGCTGGTAGCAGGGGGGCTGAAGGAGAAACGCCGTGGTGACGTCTCCCTGGCCGAGCTGGGCTTGAGGGGGCTGTGTTCCTGGACCATCGTCTGCTCACAGCTGAGGAGGGACAGCATGGGCTTTCTCTTACCTGGGGAGGAAGGAGAGCTGCCTGAGTCACTGGACAAGGACGAGGGAGGCAAGTGTGAGCTGGGGACATCTGGAGCAAGGCTGGCCATTGGGGTTTTAGGAGCGATGGGAGAAAAACCACCCAGGGCCCCTTTATCAAAGCAAAATGGAAAGAATGAAGAAAAGGCAATGGAAAGGGGGCCTAGATTCAAAGGAGAAGGCAAGAACTTGCTCCTCCAGTAATAAGAGGCCATGGGCACATTTTCTCCAGAGGCGTCTCTGCTTCAAGGAAAGGGACCCATGAGGGTGCAGGCCTCAGAGTTGGATGTTGTAACTTACACCCACCACTGCCATGGTACAGGGGCTTTTCCTACTCTCTGGGCGACTCAGGGTCCAGCCTCATCTCTGGCTGAGGCTCCTTAGTGGTCAACCCAAGAACCAACTCACACCCAACCAGCTCCTCTGCCCCCAGAGGTGAGGGAAGGGTACTCTCTGTCCCGAGCCATACCTTTGCCACCCAGTGGCTCTTGAGCTTCCTCCTGCAGACAGGGAATGGTGGAGCTCTTCCCGTTCCTCTCTGGAACTGTCTTCTCCCACTGCAGTGGTGGCCTGGCCATCCCTGACTTATTGCTCTTGATCCGAAGGCTGTACTGACGGGCCAGCTGGTAGACCTTGTTCTTGACACGTTCACTCACTTGGCTGTCCATCATGTGGGACAGCTGCACAATGCGGGGGTGCAAGGGGGTCACCAGTTCCCCTTGGCCATTGCTGTTCAGCTCTTTCACCAGCTCCTTCAGCTCCCGGGCCAGATGGGCAGGGTTGGGCCGCTCTGTGGGGGAGGCGCTCTCTGGGGAGGCTGTGGCAGACTCCTCCATGATGGCCCCCAGCTCGTGCTCCTCCAAGATGAAGAGCGGTTCGTGAAGGTCAAAGCCATTCTCCTGGTCCTGGCCCTGGCCCTGGCCCTGGCCCTGGCCCTGGCCCTGGCCCTGGCCCCGCCGAGGGCTCCCCACTGGAGACTCCATGCGCTCCCACATCTTCACAATTTCCGACGACGGACGGAACTCAGCATCTGTGATAGGGGCTGGATCCCCAGTGCCTGCCTGGCCTGGTCCTGAGAGGTCAAATGGGGCCCATGAAGCTGGTCGGGACCCTGCCTGTCTTTTGTGCCCCAGCGGAACCATGGGCTCTGGGTCCGGCCTGGGAAGACTATTGAACCTGGAGACGGAATTTCTCACCAGCCCTTTGGGAATATAGGAGAGGCTCTCCCGGCGCCGAACACTAAAACCCGCATCATGGTGTTCTGCGTTTTCATAGTAGCTCTTGATTCTGTCCAGCAATAGCCGGTCTCGAGTGGACAGCAAAGATTCCTTCTTCTTGCAAGGAGTCCGATCAGGCTCAGCTGGGCAGCCTGGACTTGGGGGCTCTGTTCCATTGATGGATGGGCTGCTCTCTGCAGCCACCCCCAAACTGACATCTTCTGGGGGAAGCTGGGAGCTGAATGAGTCTGTGGTGCTGCCACACCGGACCGGGCCCTTCTCACTGCCCTCAAGACTGAGCATGCTGCTGCTGCGACTGGCCAGCTGCGGGGTCGTGAGGCCACTAGACTTGCCATCATCTAGAGCCAGGCTGCTCCGCCGAGAGAAGCTGCTGGCAAAACGCTCAGCAATGACGCTGGCCTGGTCTAGCACAGAAGGTGGCAGGAGGCTCATGGGCTCCTGAGAGGCCCCCATGTCCTCCTCCTCCTCACTGCTCAGGGCTTTAAGGTCCTCGGAGCTCTCAGCCACCACAAAGTCCACTATGTCACCCACATGGTCCACCTCCAGCAGTCCCTGGTGGGCATCAAGCTGTGTTTCCAGAACTTCTGGAGACTCAGTGTCAGAGGGCATCTCCTCGGTGCTGGGACCCTCCACGGCAGCAAATACCTCCTCTGTCCCAGGCTGAGGCTCTGGCTCAACCTGCGACATGACACAGAGAGCTCACGTGAGCAGAGAACTTTCCTCATGGGCTCTGGAGGATGAGGGAATGGGGCCTTCTCATGGCCCAGGGAGAAGGGCTGCAGGTTAAGGAGTGAGGCAACAAGACTCAACAGAGAATATTAGCAGGGCCTTTGAGAAAAGAACATGATTGTGTGTGTGCTTTTGTCACCCTGTATCTAGGGCGCTGGCCCATGTCCTCAAATCCATGAATGGGATAGGATGGTGGCCTCTGTCATTGGCAGTCTGCCTGTGAAGTAGGGACAAGATGGGGACACACACAAGGTCAGGCACTACACCAATCTCCCAGCAGCCTCTCTCACAGGCACTTGGCAGAGTCAAGGCACAAAGTCCCTTCTGCCTGTTGCGGAGGCAACTCCCTAAAGTTCTAGGGGCTCCCACATGAGGGCAGGGGGTTGGGGGTGGAAGGGGCCTCTGGGTTCAAACCCAGGCTTGAGTGACATGAGAGGTAAGGTCCCAACTTCCCTGCAGAGCCAGGGCCTCCCATGTAGATCAGTGTCCTGAAAGCAATGCAAGCACTTCCTGCAATCCTATCAGAGGATGAGGCTCCCACCAGGCAGCCTGGACTCTGGCCACAGCCCAGCTCAGCATATGCACAGCCAGATGGGCAGGGAGGGAAGTAAGAAGAAGGAGTCCCCTTTGACCACGATGAAGGGAATTTGAACCATAAAAGTGGCTGGCACAGATGTCTTTGGAGAGAAGAGAAAAACAACCACTCTACATTCTGAGGAATCAGACCAGATCTCATTTCTTCTCATCCTGAAGTTGCAAAGCAGGATCCACGATCTGGAGCTGCACTGCCGAAAGCAGCAGCCATCCGCTATGTGGCTCTGAGCACTTGAAATGTGGGCCGTCCAAAATCAGACACCCAATTTCAAAGATTTTCTGCTCCCCAAAAAAGTATATATAAAAAAAGTCTTCGATGACTTTTGATATTTATTACATGTTGAAATAATCAATCTGCTCCAAAATTAATCTCACTGTTTCTTTTAAAGTTTTTTTATGTGGCTACTGGAAATTTTACAATCAGACAGAGGGTTCACAGTCTACAATAATTGGAGGATGCTGCTCTGGACACTATCCAATGTTATCTATGGTTCTCAGCCTGCTCTGGCTGAGAGACCCACCTAGGGGCTAGCCTTAACTTTCATGACTTTTCCTTCTAACTTTGGAAAAGATCAATCCCTCACAACCCACAGGCAGCCTGTGGGAGTGGGAACAGAGGGGGTGCTTCTGAGTCACTGACTCAGAAGTTTACCCCGCCCCACATCAGGTAAAACTTCGGTGAGCCTTTTTTTTTTTTTCCCTTTCCAGAACTGACAGGGAATGAAAAGGTAGAATAAACTCAGACATTTAGGACAGCGTGCCCTACACATCTTCGTGCAGGGGGGCACAGGTGAGGCAGAACTTTGCGTCCTATACAAGGTGTCAGGTCATGGGGGTCTGAAATTTAAGTCACTACCTTTAGCCTGGGACTGCAGCTTCCCTGAAGTGAAGGCGGGCACCTTTTCTTAATTCATAGAAAGGGGCTGTCTGCTGATGAAGCTGTGCACCCAGAGACCAGACAGGCTTCCTGAAGGACTGAGAGTCCCAGGGGCATCAGAACCTGTTTCTGAAGGTCTCACCTGTACACCTGGAAGTCTGGGTTGCAGGGACAAAGGCACCACTCCCACCCCCATGCCCCACCCCCCATCCATCTGCTGGCTGTTCTGAACTTGCTTACCTCCGGCAGGGAAGACACTGACTCAAAGCTCATGCGCTTCTCAGGGCTGGTTGAAGACCGGCCACTGTGCCTTCTGCAGCCCTTGGAGCCTTCAGACTCCCGGCGCCCCTTCCCCTGTAGCGGACAGTGGCAGCTGTCAGCTCCCAAGACAATTGGGGACCAATCCATCTGCATCCAATACACACAGCTACTCCCCAGCCCCAAGGAGGGCCCTGGGCTACACTGAGTCAACCTCAGATCTGAGCCATTCCAGAAGTTAACAGGCATGTGGTCTCTGGCTACGTCTTCAGAAAAGCCCAACCCACCTTCCCTCCCAGGCCAAGTGGACTTGACCCTTCCATCCCCCACCCATTAGTCATGCTCACTGGGTAGCACAACAGTTAGCGCCCGGTTCTGGAGCAACACATGCCAGGGGCTCACCAGGGCATGGCAGTGAGGAAGGGGTTAATGCTGAGGGAGGAGTAAACGGGGTGGGCTGGCCGGATGGGGGGCAACAGAGGAGACTGGAGAGGCATGCACATGCCAGGGAGCATGCAAGGAGGAGGAGAGATCAAATAGACACCTCACCATAGCGCCCCGGGAGAAAAGTAAAGCGTTGGCTCGATAGTGCCAGCAGTGGAGGGCAGCCAGCAGGGAGCTGGCAAAGTCGGCTACCTGCTCCGCCACTGCCAGGCTCTCCTCCTCCTCCTCCTCCTCCTCCACCTCCTCCTCTGAGCCCGGGGGCTCCGGCCCGCTCCCCTTCTCGCTGCCTTCATGCCCAGCCAGATTCTCCAGAGAGACCCGAAAGGTCTGCTCCTGCTCTTCCTGCTCTTCCTCCTCCTCCTCCTCCTCCTCCTCCTCCTCCTCTCGGGCAGCCCCTTCAGCCTCTGGCTGCAGGCCCCGAGTACGGGAGGGCTGCCCAAAGTCCAGGAGCGTGCCAGCACTGCCTGCATGCTGTTCAGAGCACAAGAACCCCCTCATGAGCGGGCTCTGGGCAGCCTCCCCTCCTCCTGCCTGTAGTAGGGGGTAGAGAGGCTTCATGCAGCTGCCAGACTGCTCTCCACAAGGGTTGATGAGGAGCAGGGGTTCTCACAGCAGGGAGGCTGGGGCCTGGAGACAGGTCAGAAACTCAGCCCCCCCAGGAGTCCCACCTGCCCCGGGGGTGGGGTGAGGCTGTGAGGCCACCACTGGGGTGTTGTTCCCGGAAAAGGGTACAGAAAGGTCAACAAAGGCATGGGCCAGGCCCTATTTATCTCCAGAACCTGGAGCTCAGCAGGCACCTGCTATGTATGTGCTGGATGAATAAAGGCAATGAGCGCTGAAGGGGCCAAGGGAAGTCCCTCCCACCTCTCTCCACCAGTCCCCCACTCCTGGTCACCAGGTGCCCACTGGCCTTACCTTCATTCCTGCCGCTCGAGCTGCTGATACCACCAATGGGTTCCCAGCACATAGGGAGAGCGGAGGAGAGAAACCAATAAGCAGGATGAAGAGCCCCTCTACAAAGCCAGAGGCCCACAGTCCTCTGAGGAAGACCTCAGGGGCTCCCATTCTCAGGGCTCTCTAGCAGAGGTCTGAGAATAGGGTGCAAGATCTGGGGGTGAGGGCGGGGCTGGCTCAAGGCACCATCAGGCAGATGAAACAAGGCAAAACAGAGGCCAAGTCTCTCTAAACTGCTCCAGCAGCCCCCGCCCAGGTCTGAGAGCTCACTGGGATGACTGTCTGGCCCCTTACACACCCTCACCTTTCTCACTGAGTTGCCTGAGCAGGTGTCTGGCCGGCTCTGAGGAGAAAAATGAGTTGGCACAGTCAGCAGGGGCCAGGACATCACTGTAATGGCTCTGGTCCCAAGCAGTGCCAGCAGCCTACCACCAGCTCACAGTTGACTCTGGCTTGGCTCCCAGCAGCCCTGGGGCCTGAGGGGGGCTAACCTCTACAGTGCCAGTGAGTCCGCTCACACCTGCCAGACAGAGCCAGGCTGGGCCACATCCATCCTGCTCCACTCCAACCCGGCCCGCAGCCCACAATGCCTGCATCAGCACACCTCACCCATGCGGCCCCTTCAGACAATCAGCCTTGGGTCCAGAAGTTCCAGGCTCCACCTCAAGCCCCATATCCCCCTGCAATGAGCCCATCAGCACCGCTAGCTGCATCTACAGCAAGCCCCCTCATAGCACCCCAGCTGGAAAGCAGAGGTCGCACCCGACTTTCTACGGCCCTGAAGGCCTGGTACCACGAAGCCTCGCTGCCCGCTGGGGAGTGTTGCCCAACTGTGTAGAGACTGCCCAGGTTCTGGGGACAGAATACAAAACACATCCATTAGGCTAACAGTGTCACCTTTTACCCTCACCTTTCTAGGGACAGATCTGAGATGGGAGGCAGGGACAAGAGGACATTGACTGTCTCAGACACCTCCTTCTACAAAGCCCTCCCCTAGCCTGCCCGGAATTAGATGGGAGGCCTAGGGATGGCCACTATAGCCTATAAACTTGAAGCCAGAAGGGAAGTCTACTGAGGCCTCCTTAGCTGTACCTGGGCAGGAGAACACAATGAAAAACTTTATTGAAAAAAGTATGCATGTACACACACACACACACACAAAAAAATTTTGCACCAATGTAAGTAAACATCCAAGTGCTTTTAACATAAGAGAAATAGGAAATGTCCTACTTTTTCACTTAAAAACTTGAAATTAGGAATGTTTCTAAAATGACCACTTAAGATATAACAAAGAATACTATACTTATTAATAGCGAACATATCTGACCATCTCACTTTCTCCATGTAGGAAGCAAAAGAGGCTTCTAGGTAGGCAGAGTAGGTGGTAAAGCCCAGCACGGCAGCTCCTGCAGACAGCCCACTCCTCGCTCCCTCTCAGTCTGCTGTGACATACAATTCCCTCAAGCTCCATGGATTAGAAGGGCTGCCACAGGCAAACATGCTAAGTCCAATGAGAATGAACTCTACAGTGCTAGGAAAGAACCATAAAGAGGAACCTACACCTCAGCTGCAAGCTGTCTCTATGGTAACCCACAGACCACTGTCCAGAATCTAGCCAGAACGTGCCATGAGTGATGTCGGAACACTGACTCCAGGAAAGGGAAAGCTCAACTGTTGGGAACATTTTGGAAATAAACTGTGCTGATAGTTGCATTAAAAAATAAAAAGGTGGGGGATGGCGAGATGATGAACTTCTGGAAAGATGGCAGATGAGGCAGACACACTACATGGACCGTCTGGTAGTTTCGAACCGTGAGATTAGCAGCCCGATTCGTCACCACTAAGATAGCAGAGCTCCTTTACAACAAAGATACAAGAGACCAAATGAGACAGACACAGATGAAAATCCTGGACCCCTGAACTTCAGATGAAAACTTAAGAAATGGATTGAGTGCTTGCTGGGAGGAGAAGCTGAGCAGGCAAGGCACCAGAAGGAATGGTGAACAGTCGGCCAGATGCGGCACGGCCAGCTTCAACTTTGTGAGCAGCTTTGGCAATAGAAGGTGGCCTGGCAGAGTAGATTCATATTGGTAAGGAGAAAGGTGTGTTTCCTTCTTTCTCCCCACGTTCCCCTAGTGACCAGCCCCCACCATCATTCCCCTAGTGGCAAGCTCTGCTCTCCAAGAGGTCAGAGCCACGTGGTTATTAGCCATGCCAAGGTGAGGTAGGGGTCAGCTGCGCTGCTTTGGGGTCTGGTTCGGACATGCTCAGCTTCAGACCTACAGAACTCTCAGAGCCACTAGACCAGCATTAGTCTAGCAGAAACCCTCATAGCCAGTTACCCCAAACTGCCCTATGGTCCTGCAGACACTGAAACCAGCTCCATCAAGGGCCTCCACAAACGACTTCCAGATTGAGCACCCTGAACATAGATTAACACCTAGGCCTATAGGAACTCCATCGAGGGCCAGCTCCACTGTCACATCTCTCCTATACCCACCCACGAGCTCCTTGACTGGCAGGAGCCCCCACAGTTTTCTCCTCTCCAAGTCCAACAGCTGCACTGGGTTTGTAGTTTTTTCCCTTTCATTGTTTTTGTTTGTTAAGTCTTTCTTCTCTTTCCATTCCTTTGAATTTTGCCCTTTTTATTTCTGTTTCTGTTTTTCCTTGTCTTCTGTTTCTCATCACCCCTTTCTTTTTTCCCTTTGCTCTTTCTTGACTACTCTTCACTCTCTCCAACGTCCCTCTCCATGAGTTTTTTAAGTACTTTAAATTTTTTCCCCCTTTTATTTTCTCTCCAATAGTTCCATTTTCCTGTCCCCCTTTTCTCCTTTTAGGTACTATATTCTTTTTTCCTGTCTGTTTTTTTTTTCTCTCCTTTAATATTTTCTCTTTTCATTGTTGGTTGCTTGTTTGTTTACAGACAAACCCACTCTAAACTGAGGTGCACAGAGAACAGTGCACACAGTTCCATTCTCTAGGTTCCATTCTATAACTACACCTGCAGAAGATATTTGGTAAGAGCCTAAGAACACATTAACACATAATCATTAATTAAATACAAATATGACAATAGCACAATGTCCCAGTTACAACAGAATTTTTAGTTCACATGAAAAAAAGAAAGAAAGAAAGAGAGAGAATGGCTCAAACAAATGACAAAGATGTAGAGCCAGAAAACATTCCTGAGGAAGAAAAGGTAATGGAACTAACTGAAAAAAAAAATCAAAAGAATATTTAGGTACCTTCAAGAACTGACAAAAAGATCAAGGAAAGTAAGAACACAGAAAAAACAAGATTTCAGGAGAACAAACAGTAAATAAATGCAAATTTTGAAACAATTAAAAACCCGCCATCAGAAATCCAGAAGCATAATACTAAGATTTCAGAAATGGACAAATCATTGAAAGGGCAAAGGAATAGATTTGAAGCAATGGAAGTTGGAATTAGTGAGTTTGAAGAGAAATTTCTCAAAATTAGCACGCTAGAAGAACAATCAGAAAAACTGAGAAAAGCCAAAGAAAGGCTAAGAATTATGTGAGACTATATGAAGAGGAACACATTAGAGGTGACAGTAATTTCAGAACAGGAGGAGACAATAAAAAACAGAGAGAAGTGTCAAAGAGTTGTTGAAATACTTCTCTAACATCATGAAAGATGAGAAGTTAAGCAAGCTTACAAGAAGTTGAATGAACCCCAAACAGGATAGGTCCCAAAAAGAAACTCACCAAGACTTATCACAATCAAACTTTCCAAAAATCAAAGACAAGAATCCTGAGAGAATCTCAGAAAAAATAATTACCTACAAAAGAGAACCAGTAAAACTAAGCTCTGATTTCTCAGCAGAAACCATTCAGGCAGGAAGGCAATGGGATGATAAATACAAAACTCTGAAAGAAAAAACAACATACCAACCAAGAAGCATATACCCAGCACTTTGCTGTCTCTCAAATATGACAGCAAAATTAGGCCATTTCCAGATAAACAGAAAGCAAAGGAATTTGTAATAATCAGACCGACTTCACAAAAAATAATAAAGGGTGCTCTTTGGATTGAGAACCAACACCAGCAGACAACAACCTGAGATTAACATACATGACAACACCACCCAGAACTCAAACCAGATATAGAAGTATTGAAGGGAAAACAAGACTGAAAATAGGGAACCAGAAATATCAATTTATAATGAAGTCAACTACAGAGCAAAAAGATGGACTAGTGTAGATACAAAACTTCCAAATGACAAGGAATTCAAAATGAAAAAGACTGTTTTAAAAAGAGGGACAAAATTCTACTAAATATATAGGATAACTTCAAAGAAAATGAATACACATCAAAATATAAGACAGGAAAATCAGAAAGAAAGGGTAAAGATTAACACAACATAAATGAAAATGAAAAAGGAAAACCACAAACAAAATGAACTCAGTATAGAAAATTATGTGGAACAATGAAACCAGCAGTGCCGTGAAAAACCACAACAAAGGGACAGCAATCAATTCACACCTACTAATAATCACACTGAATGCAAATGGATTCAAACCAACCTTGCGGTCTAGTGGCAACGCCACTTGGACACTCCATGGGTAACGGGGCAGGGGATATACAAGAGGGAAGTTGGGAGGAGAGATAAACATATTGGGGGACACAGGGAAGAATACAAGAGTTAAAGTGTTAACTGGTGGTACACGGAGGGGACTGCTATCATTATAATAAAGCAAAGTGTATGATTTCTTGAATGTAACCAATAAGCTGCTCTGTAAGCCTTCACTCAATTCATAATAAAAAGTTAAAAATAAAATCTTACTGTGGTTGTTGTTGTCAAGTGCCATCAAGTCAGTTTTAACTCATAGCCACCCTGTATGGGGTTTCCAAAGAATGACTGGTGGGTTTGAACCGCCAACCTTCTGGTTAGCTGTCCAGTGCTTCCCCTACAGCACTACACCAGGACTCCATTATTTCAAAAGGCTTAAAAAGGTTTGAGCCACATGTTAGAAAGATATCTATCTCGTAAAGGCTAAAACTAAAAATCAACAACTTCCTCATTGCTTAAAGGGTAAAGTCTCAGTGATATGCAAGTTTCAGCTCATTCCCTGGGTGCTTAGGTTGCTATGACAGACCCCGCTGCTATTATTACCACCACCATCACCACTTACTGAACACTTCTATGTGCAAGAGAAGGGTAAGCACCGGACTGCTAACTTCAGGTGAAAACTTCAGGTGGGCGGTTTAAACCCACCAGCTGCTCTTCAGAAACCCTATACAGAGTTGCTATGAGTCAGACAGCACAGACTCGATGGCACTTAACAACAACAACGTGCAAGAAAGAGCTTTAGTGGCACTGCAGGATAAGCACTGGGCTGTTAACTACAAGGTCGGCAGTTCAAACCCACCAGCAGCTCTGTTGGAGAAAGATGAGGTTTTCTGCTCCCATAAAGAGTTACAGCCTCGGAAACCCGATGATAGAGGGTTGCTGAGTGGGAATCCATTTGATGGCAGTGATTTTATAGTCAAGAAGCTTCTAGTTCTAAGCTATGGCATGTGAAAGATGAATGTTGTAAACATTGTTGTTGTTGTTATGTGCCATCGAGTCGGTTCCGACCCATAGCGACCCTGTATAGGGTTTCCGAGGGTGTAAATCTTTATGGGAGTAGAAAGCCTCATCTTTCTCCCGCGGTGCAGCTGGTAGTTTTGAACCGCTGACCTTAAGGTTTGCAGCCTGATTCATAACCACTACACTACCAGAGCTCCTTTGTTGTAAACATAGGGATAAAATTATAAAAAGAAGAAAAATGGGAATAAGAATGGGTCAGAGACTTACAATGTAACACTTCCAGTCTGAGGTAACATCGAGGCTTTTGCAGCCAGAGCAAATGTGCCCAGGGTTCAAGATCCCTCCCAGAAAACACCAAACCAAACCTTTCTAGACTATTCTGCTCCATCTTCTAGAAGATCCAAGCCCACAGGCCAACCCACACAGGTACAAGAGGTTATGGTCACAGTTAGAACATGACTGTCAATCATTCCAGATGTTAATAAGACAGTTCTCACTGTAACTCCCTGATGTACATACATATTTGACAGGCATACAGCTAAGGTCAAATCCATCCCTGGACCTCAGTCTGAATGGGAGAGTAAAAACTAAACATACACACACGCTTCACCATAAGACTAAGAATAAATGCCAAGTTTTCTCTTTCTAAATAGACCATTCATTCTAACAAACCCAAGGACATAGTTGCAAGTCCAGTAATGGAAGAAAACCCAGGAGAGGAAAATGGAACTTTATCCTGAGACCCAAAGTAAATATTTCCTGTCTGGATTTGGTGCCACCTTGAAGTCTAATTTGTTTGCCTCAAGTCCTGTGTCTGCTCTGTTGTTCCAAAAGTAGGCTAGGAACTATCCATAATGTCTAAACAGTTACTTCTAGCTGATCAGGTATTCCCGGTGATAAAAGCCGGAGATTTTGAAGCAAGAGAGTCAAACAGGGGCCCTAAAAGTGGACTGTCCAACCTCAACGGGCAAAAAAAGGCCCGCGGTTCCTACTGGGACAAGTCCAGGGACAGGATGCTCTACTGACGTGTAGCTACTGACCCTTCCTCCCGCCCTTCCCAGGATTTCCAGAGAGGTGCTGCTGCAAATGGTCCCCTGCCTGCTCAAAGGTCCCTGAAGATGCCTCTGCCCACATGGGCTCTGCCCTCACCAGACTGCCGGCGTCCTTGGCGCACATGGGTGGACACTTCGTCCTGGGAGGACCAAGCTTTCTTCAGCCGCTCTGGGCTGTAGCGATACCGGTTGGGATCTACACACAGGAAAGACAACTGGTCTTCAGTTTCTTACAACTAACCTTGCCCAAACTCGACCCGACCCCCACCACACCTCTGCCACCCACCACCCACCAGGATCCTCCAGTACCCCTCCTCTTCCATCTTAAATCAGTGCTGTCTGGAGGTTCCCGGCAGCGAGAGCCCCACCCTGCATGACAAGTGAGCCACCCAGCCTTGCAGTATATCCCAGCCCTTGGCCAAAGGAGCCTCCCTATTCCCTTTGCTTCCTGGAAAATAAAAATAAGTTTCCCCTGGATGCAGCCTGATCGGGACACGTGTACAATGAAAGACAAAACAGGTAGAACAGGGTTCACTTACAATAGGAATCCATTTCCAAGATGGCCTCCTTGGCCTGGAAGGGAAGGAAAGCCACTTACTTGTCACCATACTATGAGCTGGGCCTTGCTCTTGCTGCTCTGGGACACCATGGTGCTCCACTATGCCCCGAGGCATCCTCCATACTGAAGCCCACCACCCAGCAAGGCCAGCGGCCAGAGGTCGAATGCCAGTGGATGTTTTACAGTGGGCTCTGTGGGTAGATGTCTCCCTATACCTCCATCAGGAGCCAGGGAAGGGTCACGTGGAACTCACCTTCTGGGGGATGGTGGCATGGTGGTTCTCAAGGATGAGCCTCTTGATGTGATGGGTCCAGTTCCGTTTCTCCTCCACGGTTTTGGCCTGAGAGGACCCAAAGGAAAGGAAAGGAAAGGAAGTGTGGGGTCATCACCACAAGGTCTAAAGTCATCCAGCAAGGCCTGTGTTTCTGCCGAGCTGGGCACAGGTGGAGGAGTACTGTGCTGGGGCCTTGGTGCTGTTGTCTTGACACCTAGAGGAGAACATGTTGGTATCTCCATTTTATAGAAGGAGGCACTGGGGCTAGTGCCACTAAAGTGACAGGAGGAGCCAGATGCACACGTAGATGTGTAACCTCACAAAGCCAACTCCTGGCCCGCCCCTCACCTGGATGCTGTATTGCTGCTTGCTGTGTTTGTAGTGGGTGACAGTGAAACACAGTGAGTCTCTGGTGCTTTCGATCAGCATCAAGGAGGAGCACTGGGGGCAGAGGGAGAGGGGCAGACAAGCACGTGAGTCACGACTCAGCTGTGAAGACCCCAGGGAAAAATTCTCAGAAGACGGGGGGG